TCGCAGAATCAGGAAAAACATGCCAAGTGTCTCTTCTAAAAGTCCTTTTTCTTCTAAAGCATTCCAACACCAAAGATTCAATCTTTTTTAATTAAATCTCCAATAATGTTAGAAATATTGCCATCGCTAACATTTATTATTAAAAATGCATGGAAACATTTTCTTGCAGGTGGTTCTGAAGAGTAAGGATGACCAAGTGACTGTGATAGGAGCAGGAGTGACTCTGCATGAGGCTTTGGCAGCAGCAGAGCAGCTGAGAAAAGGTGATCAGACTGTGGGTCCCCCTACCCCCTCTTTTTTTTAATCATTTAAAACAGCAAAGAAATCAATACCAGTTAGTCTAACTGCTCACCCTTTGTACTGGTAAACATTGACTAATTAAAATATTACAGTTAGTGGGTCACCTGTTAGCTGATACAGTGCAACATAGAGTATATCTGCCAATCTCTTACCTGATTGAGTAGGTTTTAGTTAGCTTAGTGGCATCAGTAGCCATGAAAATTGCCAAACTGGTCTGATCAAAGTTCTGCTTGGATTTCTGTCCTGTCTCTGAAATTGCCCCATAGGCAGAATCTTAGAGGAAGAGTGTAAGAAACAGGAGTGATCCTTCCCTGGCATGTTGTCCAGGCAAGCTAGGGTACTGACATGATAGAATGCAATTAGGTTGTGGCCAGTTAACAAAATACAGCTTGTCAGTTGAGCCACAAAGCTCTGCACTTTTATGCAGTGCTGTTGATATGCGGTAGCTGTGTGTAGGTATGGTTCACTGCTAATTTGTTTTTGAATTAATGTATCGACATTTAACTAGTGTGGGAGGCAGTAATCCTGTGATGGTGCTCAAACGCACAGATGTTCTCTCACAGAGAAAACAAGAATTCTTCAGTGAAATAAGAGGAGAAAGGAACCAGCAAAATCCATCTGTGTCAGTAGCCTACACCTAGGAAGAGATTACAAATACTAAGAGATAATACAATTAATGCTGTAGGTGGCTTAAGGGTAGCTTTGCATGCTCTATCTAGATATTCTATTATGACCTTGAGCCATCAGGCTTAGAACATTTTGAAAGTTGTATTTTTAAACCTACTGTTTTTTTGTGCATTTGTAGTGCTTTGCAATGAACTGCTGATCTTGGAGTGTGAGTAACCAGTTCAAGAGAGATATTCCCTTAGAGTAGAGGCAATGTCTCATACCTAAAAGCTGGTACAGTGGCTGCTGAATAGCCTTCAAACACAAAACTGTCAACATAGTCTACTGGAGGGTTTCTCTGTGTTACATCAGTTCCTAGATGCTGAAGTAGCTTCTTGGAGTGGTGGATAAATAGCGTCAGGTAGAGTAGGCCTTAGGCTTCTCTACATTAGGTAAGAGTTGAATCTGTATTCAGCTAGCCGAGAGCAGGCAAAATCTCACGTAATTTGCTATTCTTTATTTAAAAAAAAAAAAAAAAGCTCACAATTTTTATGTAGCTTTAGCAAGCAATCTGGGCCTGCCTGGTGATGGCAGGACAAATTCTGATTTTTTTCATTGCCAACCTGCAATCAGGGCTGGGGCAATTCAAACACGCATGCTTGATGGGTGAGCAACCTGAAATGAAGGATTCAAAATGCCCATGGATGAGGGCTACAAATGAAGAAACAGGAAGGAATTGTGCTTAACTTGACAATAAAGTTAAAAGTGAAATAAAGCTCAGCGGGGGAAAATTGAGGTCACTAGTCACATTAGGAAGGATTTCCTAGTGGCTAGATTCCATTCTTACCTCTGGGAGGGCAAGGGTAATAAGTTTCCGTTTTGCTAATGAGCACTCCTCGTGACCTTGAGTCACTTACCCAAAGCTTCTCTGCCTCAGTTTTGTCTGTGGAATGGATGACCATTGCTATCTCACAGGGTTCCTGAAGGGCGAATACATAAAAGGTTAGGATTAGTTGGATTCCATGGTAGTCAAGCCATTAGTAAAAATGTCTGAGAATTAGTAGAGCTAATTTTCAGAATTGCTTTAGAAGACTCCAGGGGCTGCCTTGTACCATTTTCATTGTTCTGTGTTCTCCAAGGCTATATTGGAAATAACTTCATTCTACTTTTACAGAAAAAATTTTCATACGTGTGATTGATCCCTTCACTATAAAACCCCTGGATAAGAAAACAATACTTGAAAATGCAAGAGCGACCAAAGGCAGAATCATCACTGTTGAGGACCATTATCATGAAGGTGAGCTGAGACGAGGAAGCCATAGCCCCCAGGGGGGGCTGGAGGCTCACAGCTTCCTCCTGACCTGAGAGAGAAGTATCAGGCCTCACATTGTGGTTCGGTTAACACAAAAGAGAGGTTTTAGCCTTTCCCATTGACACTATGATTATAAGCTGGCACTGAGTGTTGAAAGCTTCCTAAAGTAATGGGTTCATCAGGGCTGCCTTTATGATTAATTTGGCCTTGTGTGCCCTTTACATGTGGGCCAAGTGAAATCTTGATTCCTTTGTTCCCCGTGAGACTACAAATTTTAGCTGTGGTGCAGTGATTCTGCACAGAATGGACCTAGATTTGGCTTTACAGTAGCTGTTCTGCAGCCTGTTAAATTACAAGGGAGACCATTGCTGTACCTTTTCCTTAAGCTTTCCCTATATCTAAAAGCTTGGTTCTGGGTTGCTTGAAGTTGGATGATTTTGGCAGTTCCAGCAATCACTCTGGGATAAATTACACTTGCTTGCTTCTCCTAAATTAGTTCACCATGACTATAATAGGGCAGACTGGAGCCTGTGAAGAGACAGAGCTTTGTGCATCCTCACTGGCCTCTTTTTGCTCGTTGATCTCATCTGCTTAAAGGCTATTTCAAAATCTTACTGGTGTTTGGTAATGTTTTTTAAGCTACGAGTAAAAAGCACATGTACATACATATGCAAGCAGGAATTTCTAAGATGATTTCCAAATAAATCCTTGGCTAAAAATGCTATGCAGGAGAAGCAGAGTAGTTTCTATAAAACTCGCCCAGTTTCTGCACCAGGATTTTATTTACACAGGTAAAATAACTTCCTCCTGCTTCCGATGATTGCTGGCAGGATTCTGCAGGAGCTCATTTTAGCAGTTGATCATCTGCTCAGCTACTCTGCTCCCTCTTGCTCTCTGGCATGGCTTGTTTGCACAGGTTTTCAGTGGTGTGCCTATGCAAACGTGCCCTCTGAGGGTGAGCCCATATGCAGACAGAGAGCAGCTGCTGTGAATTGCATGTCAGGCTTGCTCCTCTTGGAGAGATGGAGAAATTAGGGCAGAAATTAGGGGCAGCTGTGAACTATGGCGTTGTTATGGGGAGTTAGCTGTAGAAAGGAGAGTGTTATCCTACTTTAAGGGGAGCACCAGTCTTGCAGCTATCCGGAGTGAGCTAGCATTACTCTAAGTGCATCATACTTCTGTTCTGGACCATGGATGGTGGTAGCATCGCTGAACCTCATCATATTCTAGCTTATTTTTCAACTCTAGGCAAATATGTTACTGTAGCTTTGCAAGATGGCAAACCCCTCACACTCAGAGGGGATGAACACATGATTTACACTGGCACAGCTGTCTGTATGATGCAATCAAGGAAGGTCAAATGTGCACTCATCACAAGCCCACGTCACTAATCTTACTAGCCACATCCATAGAAGTGCCTCTGGCTGGAGGCTGAACTTGACTGGTTGAGTCACACCATGCCCTGCGCTGGGAAAAGCACTGTGTTCCTGGACACACCCCAAGGGTAGTGCAGCACTGAGGTGTCTCCTTCCAGGAGTCTCAGAGCACATGCTGCTGACACCAGCCCTGTGTTTTCTTCTTCCCTAGTATTCCTGCCTCCAGCATCTCTCTATCTGCCACAGAGTTCCCCATTACACCCCCTTGTCCCTGTGACTGGTAGTGACTCAGTTTGAGCTGAGCTGCATGCAGAGGTTGTGTATACATTAAGTAACTCGAAGAGGTGCCCAACAGGAGGTACAGAAGTTGTAAAAAGGTTGTGCACTTAAATGCTCTTGAGGTTGGTGGGAATGAAGACTTCCATTCCTTAAGTACATTTGTAAATACTCCTTAGTTTAGATATATTGGTGACTCGTCCATTGGTGACTGATGCTGGAGTGCTGGGGGTTTCCTGACAGTTTTATGCCCGTTAGAGGTATGTTTCTTAGTGCCAGTCTTTAAGTACTTAAGAAATGTCAGGCTGGTTGGCTTCAGAATGCTTGTGAAATAGGGAATTGTTTTGATTTCACAAGTGGAGAGCTCAGACATATATTATATTATGATTGATATTTCTCATAAGCATGTGAATTGGGGGTTTAACTCGCACTGACTTCTGATCAGCTGTAAATTTTTAAATGCCTTCAAAATTTTGTTGACTTGGCCACAAGCAGAGCAGAAATCTGTGTTAGAGAAAGGTGTTAAACTTGCTGCTCTGACTCTGCAGCCTCTGTGACTCGCATCCTGGCGCCGTTTCTCCCTCAAGATGCTCTCTCAATACCAGTCCACCCTTTGAGAGAGCTATTACAACGCTGAGCTTGTAAACAGGGAAAAACCTGTGATCTTCTCTTGGAGCCTTCATATTCTTGGGTTTGGTATAAAAGCAATGCCTCTGGAAGCAATCTGTATGTGGTGTTTGTCCTTCTTCTCACAGGTGGCATTGGAGAAGCAGTGTGCGCTGCAGTAGTGGGTGAGCCAGGTGTCACAGTTAATCGCTTGGCTGTATCTCACGTACCACGCAGCGGGAAGCCGGCTGAGCTCCTGAAGATGTTTGGCATTGATAAAGATGCCATTATGCAAGCTGTTAAGGTGGCAGTGTCCAAATCAAGAAATGCGGAGTAGTTTGAAGCATCTTGTGCTGTGTTACAGAAAAGCAGTGTTCAGAGAAGTACTGTAAGTTTAAGGCAAAGGTGCTTTATGTAGAGAGTTCTAATAAAAATACCAGCTTAAAAAAAACCTCTGTTTTTAAATTTTTTTTCCCCCATGGAATTTAATGCAGTGGGGTAATGTCTGCATGTTTTCAGTCACTGAAAGAGACCTTTTAGGTTATTTGGAAATTGATGGGCAGCCATCTTTTGTCTACCTGCTGTGCAGCAGGAAGGTTTTGTACTTTGCAACTAACCTCTCCTACTATGAGCTCTAGTTTGGAAGTGGTGGAATGTTCTCTGTAAAGGTCTAAGTGGGCTACTTCAGCAGGGAAGTTGTGTAGTGAGCATAGGAGCATGAAATGAATTGAGTAACTCCTTTGTTTGATGTTTGGTCCAACTTACTGCTGAAGATTAAAATTCTGTCTTGAGAGAAGTTAGGTGAAAAATGGAATTCTTCCTTTACTGCCAGAAGAGCTCACTAGCCCCTTTTCTGGATACATACATGAGGCACTGGATGGGATAATGAAAAGCAGGAATAGATGTTGCAGGAAGAGGGTGGCTAATGCCTTTGTTTCAATTCTTCCTTTCTGCACTGCCCCCCTCCAGATATATAAAATGGAAGGAGGAGGACTCCATGTGCTGCATGATGTGAGTGTAGTGGAAGCAGATGCAGCAGCAACTCTTGGGGAGCCTACAGAGGAAGGTGGAGGACCAACAGGGCTGTAGGAATGGTGAGCCATCGGCTCTGGGAGGACTTGCTGGCTTCGGAGAATGGTGGCTCATGTGAGCCTTGTGCTTATTAAGGGGACAGATAGCCATCTTAGGAACTATGATCATATTTTTGGGTGCTTGGGCAGTGTTGCAACGAGGGTAAGAAGGGAGACCAGAATCACAGCATTGCATTGGGCAAGAGGCAGGAGCATTTTGAACGCTGAGAGAGACTTAGGAAGGAGGATCTGAAGGAACAGCAGGAACTTCTCCACTACCTGAGAGGATGTGACTTAAACGTAAGTTGCTTTTTCCATAGAACTAACTGTTCTCATGCGAGTTGCTCTGAGTTGGACGAGCTGTTCACCTCACATGATTGGTTCCAGTGTTTGATATGTTTTGCTACTTCTATGTTATCCTTAAGTGGCTTCTGGTTGTTTAAAAAAAGGTGGTTATTCTCTGGATTGCAATGTACCAAATTTGAAAATCTGAAAGCGTATGTAGTACTAAAGTATGTTTTCATCATCCTGACTATTCCCACAAACTACCTTTCTGAAAGATGTTATACAGCAGAAGAAACTGAAGAAGCTATTGTCATCAGAGCAGGGTGACTATACGCAGTGTTCAGTTCAAACAAAAGCCACTTGACACTAACAGCGTTACACTGGTCTGAGCAAGACTTTATTTTCAGAGTAAAAAATATGCAGTATTTTGGTATGACAGAAGATTTCTACAAAGACATATATATAGTACATGTAAATGAGAATATAAATATTACAAAACAACTTGTATTCATATCTATTGCTAAATTTAGTAGCATGTCCCCTGACATGTTTAGATAACTGTTCTGTTGTGTTGGTGCAGATCTGCGCACAACTTGGTATTAAAGGTATCTTTTTTTTTTCCAGTCTGTTTATGACTGCACTTAGCCCTGCATAAACACATGTAAGAGATCCCTATAAAATGACAGGAATGGCAACGTTGCACTTTATTTTACCAGAAGAAAAAAAAAAAGTGGAGGATCGGTAGGATCAAGCATTTTCTTTTTCCCCTCAGAAGAGATGAAATTTGCTGCCAATAATAATTTCATTATTGTACAATTATGTCACTACATGTAAAATCTCACCCAGCTTTCACTGGGTGAAATCATTATACACCCACTATATTGAGTTCTGCCACAACAAATTAATCTGCTTCAGTGCTATTGCACTGTTGGGGCTCAGCTGTGTAAGCAAGCAGCTGGTGTTTGCCTGGTTTGCAGCATCACAAGGGGTGAGGAGGAGGTGGCTTTGCGAGTGCCAAGATTCCTATTGAAACATCCAGAGCCTAATCTAGAACCAGCTGAGGATAATTTAGAACTTTTTGTTGATTTTTTGATAAACCGTGACCAGACTAACATGAGTGCATGGGGGAAGGAAGGAGAATGTGATGTATTAAAACACACGGAATTGATTTATAAACCTAGATTGTCTAATGAGCTCTGCTGAGCCATGGACAACTTCAGAAGAAAAGGACTCAGTACCACAGTTGTAGGTTTATTTTTGAGTGGAGGGAATGACATGTTTCTATGGTTTAATATTTCAATATTTTATAATAGCCATCAAGTTTTTATGACTGCCTCTCATAAAACAGTTCTTTTAATACTAGAAATGCAGACAGCAGGGATCTGTGGAACTCCCCTGAAATACTCCTCCTAGGCAACTTTCCTCATACCTGCATGATAAAGAAAGAGAAGACTGTCAGGACCAGAGTGTTCACATAAATGTCACATGTCTACTGTTAGCCCCTGATGCAACTTTTCCACATTCTTCGTATCTTTTATTCCATGAACACAAATAGAGATGAGCCTGGAGTCTGTTTGAGGACCAGACATAGGAAACTGTCCCCACATACTCAAATTTTAATTGAGCTATATAAGTCTCATTCACATATTGCCAGCAAAATTAATGTCCCATACAGGGCAGAATATTAAAAATCTGAAAATACTCTGTCACTTGGAAAGAGTTAAGAATAATTCATTTCCAAAACCAAGAAGCTGTAATGGACTGTAGTGAAATACTTTTTTAAGTTAAGAAATTCTAATTTAGAGAAACTGGTGTTAAGAGTTAACTAAAATGAAATACCCAGTGAGGTCTAAGGAATATACCTGCAGTCAGTAAGAAAAGCACTATTACCTGTTGGCCTGATTTTCGCAATCAGAGGAACAAAACTGTGAAGTACACTCCGAATTCGATGCACTAATTGTGAAAACAAACCACAGACATATTTTCAAGATGAATCAGATAGCAACATAAAGCATAAAAAATAGCAAAAGGGCAAAAACCGAACACTGACACTTGTAATATTTATGGATGTAAGCCGAGTATTTAAACAGGTACTTCTGTAATATCATTAATAACAGAGCTGTGGTGAGGCTGCTTTCTGACAGAACCATCTAATACCTACTAAACATGTTAGTGGAAGATTACAGAGGAAACTTCTGTTCTGAATTGGGAAGCCCTAACTTGCTGCTAGCTGCATCTTTCTCTATGAGATCCATGAGGATTGCCTGGAATCCCTGAGTTTTTATAATTCCCAGCAGCTGCCACAACCCAGGTTCTGCTGAGGGCTGCTCCTAACGGACCTCAGCAGCCTTGCTTGCAGGGAATGAAAGAGGTGTGTGCTGCGTGTGCAGCACCTTGCAGAGTGTGTCCAGGAAGAATGCCATGCTGCTAAAATGATACGTTGTCATGACAACTTAGTGTGCAGCCATTGCTACCGCAAGGGGTGACTCAGGGTCTTGTGATCATTGAGAATGATCAGTGTCACTGAGACATATTTGTCTCCAGACACATTGTGTAATTGTGAATGAGATGTTACAAGATAGTTATGTGATGATTTACAGAGTCTCAGTACTAGTATTTTTCTAGACTTGCATGGGTTAAATGGTTGTGTGAACCTCTATCCTTGGTATTGATATCGAGCTGGTTACTATAAGAACACGCACCTAGACCAAAGTATATCCCAATGGTTTCCAGGGAAGCAAAGGTGATTAAACCAATTCCAAGAGAAATAGTCCAATCTAAGGAAACAAAATAAATGATTGTTTGGCTTTGTCCATTCTCAAGTGTGCAACAATTTATCCTTCTATTAAAGCCTTGCCTTACCTTTGTAGTAGTAATAACAAATTAGTAAAGCTCCAATGGCAAAGCAAAGAATGACAAAATGAAAGAATTCATCTGAAACAGAGAGGGGAAATTAGGTCATGAATAAAGGCTATTTCTACATGAAATGCCTCATGCATTAGACTCAACTGCAAATCACACACATGCACAAAAATTATCTTGTGAGTAGTCCCTGTGAACTTCAACAAACTACTCATAAGTTGGAAAGAAACTTTTTGAGCCAGAGATCTTATTCGTAGCAAGGCTCATTAGGGTCGAGACCAGCTAAATAAAAAATAAAAAGATTGTTACCATCCTTCCGTATGCCCATCCACCATCCGGTCCGCTGAGGGAGGTGAGTGCTGTCATTCTCATATGCTAGAAGAAAAGCAATTCCTTTTATTGCCATGGAACTCTGAAATTTTAGTTTTAAGTTACTTTCCCTTTTTGTATCTGAAGTTGATTCTCTCAAAGCAGAATCTATGTTAAAAAGTCTGTGTGTTCAAAGGAAAGATTTGTGAGCCTTTCAGAAAGATCAAACTAGCAATTTTAAAATCACCCAAAAAGTGCTTTGCAAATAACTTGTAGCAGTTTTAAAAAAAACAGCACCATCAGATGGTTGAATTGACAATACCAATACTAGGTCTTTTATATCTAGTCTGAGAGAATCAATAGTCTCAAAATTACAGTGGGGGAGTAAAGCAGCCGGACAAGGGAGCTTCTGTTTGGTTCTTAGGTGCTTTGCACAGTTTCAGCTGCTATAATAAAACATTCTTTATCATTATGCTAATAAGAGTACCACCAATCGACTGATGTTAAAGTATTTCTGCATCCCCCAAACTGGTTAATTGTCAGTTACAGTTCTTAATGTATTATAGATGTATGTTATACTGATATGTAGAAGGAACAACATTAAAAAATAGCTAGATCTCTTTAGAGGTTTAAGTAGATGGGTTTTTGCTCTATGCTGGTTGCAAGCAGAATTGCCAAATTCTGCTCTTTCTGTGACTGTGTTGGCAAAAGGCAGAAAGAGCTGGATATTTTACCAGATTTCCAGTTGCATATCCAAAGCATTTTTTCCCCCTTTATGTTTGCTGACTGCTTGAGAAGTCCTTTAGGCAATCTGCTGTATTATAAGCCTGTGGGGGTTGATTCTTCACAAGTTTTAGATGCTAATTTCACTTACACTGAGGGTCCAGGCATTCACTGACTAATAGTGAATTTCATTTTACCTAAAGATGTAACAGGAGACTATGGGAAAAAACTTTAAAATTCAAATCAACTACAGACTTTTGCTATTGTGCTTTTGAACCATGAAGCAACTAAAATTTGCAGAGAAATTCTGTTCTGATACATGATTCACATTTGTGAATTTTGATTCTTTGTGGATTTTGGATCGATCCAGTTCTGGTTTTATGATAAACTCAATAATTTGGTTATTAACATTAACATAGTATTGCACTACTCTGATTCACAAATGTTGCTCTGTTTGCATGTGTGTGTATGAATGACCTATACACACAGAATTTATCAGAACACCAATACATAGCTGCCAAGTGTCTGTTCTGTATTGCTCTGCTTCCTAAATGCAATAGTCCCCTTGTAACTCTTGTATCATTGAATGACTTGCACAGCATTTGTTCTATTAAAGCATTAAATTGCATTTTAATAACTATTCCAAAACTTCAAATATTTCTTTAAGAAATATCTCGGCACCAAGGAGCTGGCATAGTTATCACTAAGCAAACTGATTACTGAAAGACAGCATCCAGAAGAAAAAGCACACATACTGTTTTAAACAACAAACAAAAAATCTTCTCAGTTTGCTTCTTTATATTTACCATCTGCAATTGCGTCTTCTCTTCTGGTTATCTCTGAAAAGCAACACAGTTTTATGCTTTATTTGTGAAGGTGAAAACACCTGCATATTTGCAACAGTTAGAAACAATATGCCTTTGCCAACAGCTGATTGCAGAACAGCTTGTTTCCCAACATTATCAGCAGTAGCAAGCAGGGCATGTATTTGCCAATCTGGTGACTCAGTATAGATAAAACTAAGAAGTATCAGGAAAGGAAGGAAGCAAAAGAACCCCAAGAATTGATCACAATAAAACTGTGCCTATTCACTGTGATCCCAAGCGTCTTTGAAACATCTGGGCAATAGATGATTGATTGATTCTGTGTTAATATACAACTGCTCGAACTGAAGCTGGAACCAAGCAGAGCCAAGGACACAAGCCTTTATATGTATCCCTTGAACCCATCTAAGGCAGTGGGTATCCTGCACCAGCTAAGTGTTTTCAGTAGCTCAGTACTGTGCATTGAAGTAAGCTGGAACTGAACAAAGGCCTTGATGAGAGGTGGCACCTCAAGGCCATCTGACAACTGGAAACCCTGTAGATCTCTTTCCGCGCCTGGCAGGAGAATGAGTGGGGAGAATGTTATATTATGATATAGTCCTCTATCCTGGTGTTTTATGTAGCTCCGCAGTGACAGATCATACAAAATCTCCTCTGGGGATTATGCTGCCACTTGCATCCTCTTCCCAGCTCTGTCCTCAGCGGAAGGAGTCCAAGTTACAGCTACTTTTCTTTACTTTACGGGACAGAAAGTGGCTGGGCAGGTGTCCTCTCTGAAAGGTCAGTCTGCTGGGACAAGTCCCACCGCTCTCTGCCTCTGATAACTAATAAATGTGGCGTTTGTCTTGGAGTAGGAGGGATGAAGTCCACAATGCAGTCAGGTCACTGAAAAGTTCCTACTGTGGGCTGTTAGCACCTGTTTTGCTGTTGCTCAGCAGTCCCTGATAAATGGAAATTGGCGTTTATACTGTGAGTCTCTCTAAGCCTCTTGACTAGCAGTGTTTTTGTGTTGCTTGTCACTTGGCTTTCACCTAGTATCCTCCCTTGGTGGAGAATGCTCTGAGCTAAGTGAGGGAGGTATTCAGAGCTGAATGTTATCATCTTACTGAAACCAGGTTCCAGCTCTCTGCCAATCACAGAATCACACAGAATCGTTTAGGTTGGAAGGGACCTCTGGAGATCATCTAGTCCAACCCCCCTGCTCAAGCAGGGTCACCTAGAGCATATTGCCCAGGATCACATCCAGACGGCTTTTGAATATCTCCAGCGAAGGAGACTCCACTACCTCTCTGGGCAACCTGTGCCGGTGCTCTGTCACTCTCACAGGGAAGAAGTTTTTCCTCAGGTTCAGATGGAGCTGCCTGTGGTTCAGTTTGTGCCCATTGCCTCTTGTCCTGTCGCTGGGCACCACGGAGAAGAGGCTGGCCTCATCCTCTTGACACTCCCCCTTCAGATGCTTGTACACGTTGATGAGATCGCCTCTCAAGCTTCTCTTCCCCAGGCTGAACAGGCCCAGCTCTTGCAGTCTTTCTTCCTAGGAGAGGTGCTCCAGCCCTCTAATCCTCTTGGTAGCCCTCCGCTGGACTCTCTCCAGGAGTGCCATGTCTCTCTTGTACTGGGGAGCCCAGAACTGGACACAGTACTCCAGGTGAGGCCTCCCCAGGGCTGAGGAGAGGGGCAGGATCACCTCCCTCCACCTGCTGGCAACACTCTGCCTAATGCACCCCAGCATACCATGGGCCTTCTTGGCCACAAGGGCACACTGCTGCCTCATGCTTCACTTGTTGCCCACCAGCACTCCCAGGTCCTTCTCGGCAGAGCCACTTTGCAGCAGGTCAACCCCCAGCCTGTCCTGGTGCATGGGATTATTCCTGCCTAGGTGCAGGACCTTGCACTTGCCTTTGTTGAACTTCAGGAGGTTCCTCTCCGCCCAGTGCCTGAAATTGGAAGGTTTCAGATGAAAGGAAAACCCTGTAGAGTAAAACTGAATTCAGCGGGAGAGGAGCAGTGCGGCAGGGAAAGAAAAGCTTTGAACGAGGGCTTCTGAATGCTTTGCTTTGCCCTGAAAAAGTGCAAAAGAAAGAAACCTGGCCAGGCCTGCCCCATTGCCAGAGCACATGAACTGAAGTGCTAACAAACATCAAACTCCCTCTTCTCTGTTCCACATAAGTCCTCAGGCCTGTGCTAAAACTATGCAGTTGCACTGCCTGTGATGGTGGAAGGGCCCAGTCCTCACATGCGTTGATTTCTACTGCAGCTTGCTGAATTTGGGCGTTATTTGCACAGAAAGGGTGGAGTTCTTGGCAGTCCATAATAGGCCTGCTTTTTCAAGAGGAAAGCCTTCAAGATGATGCTGCTATTAATGACATTTCCTGCTTCCTGACTTTAAAAAAAAGCTCTTAATTTTTGACAATTATCATAATTTTTTATTTATCAAACAGTGCGTTAGTATAGGGCTTGGATTATTTTAGATGAAAAATATCATTTAGATCTTAAAAAGTATGTATGATATAATCCTGCAAACCTTGATTTCTTTTTAGCACAAGACATGGAAACAACTTTGGAAAATTTCAGAAAAATCTTTGATATAACATAGATAAACTTTAATTAAGATCTTGCCCATGGGCAGACCCACAGCCCTGGCATATCAACTGTTATCTAACAACACAAGGCACTCCCAGTATTTTACTCTCCAGTGAAATCAGCCAGCTGTGTGCAGGCAGGGATGGGTTTCATTATTTGCTTAACTGTTTCCTCTAGAGAGACAGCTCCAAAGCAAGGTGATATGCCACTGCTGAAACTGGAGGGGAGGTTCATTTTTCAATTTGGATGAAAAATCAAAACCTTTTCCATTCTTTTCTCCTCTCCTCCCACCAAAAATAAGTGTTTCAACCAGACTGGCTGAGTGACTGGGCTTTCTATTACTTTCATTTC